GGGTATTTTCATTGTTGTAGGGTTTTTCTTCTTCTGACTATATATATGTTATTTTATGACATATGGCTTGTAAGCGATATTAGTAGTCGCCCAACTACTGTATTGTGATTCCTCAAGCAATAAAAATTCCTCTGCAAATCCGTGTGTTTATCTTTTACTTTTATTGTCATCTTTTTCACAACACACACCTCCACGCAACACCACCACCACAACTCCATTGCACACATACCCATAGTACACACACACACCCAACTGCCACCTTATCGCCACACCACCTTAGAGCGATTGCCTGCGATTGCCATCACGACTGATGGGTGATTGCCGTCATGACTGATGGCTAATGTGTGATTGCCGTCTCAGCAGCCTCGATGCTGAAGCGTCGCAGGCCGATGCAACACCTTCGTCCGACCGGCCACTACAGCGCTGCTTCAGGGAGTGATAGAGAGAGAGCGCCGCGAGAGAGACGAGAGACGAGAGAAACAGAGTGGAGTATTAGCGAATTAGGGTTGTGAATTAGGGCTTTTATTTACCTGATTTTTGAACAAATAAACATTAGACTTGAATTTTAAAAAGCAATATTTAAACCCCTGATTTTTTATAATTTCCCTATTTTCAACCAAACATTCCTCAATAAAACAATATTTTACATCACATCAATAACTTTTTCTTTTTTTTCAACCACACATTCTCCATCAATATACTATTTCAAAATATATATTTTTTAAAATAATGTGACTCAAACTTGATAATCACCAAATAGTAGGGGTGGACGCATGTCGGTTCGGTTCGATTTTTTTCGGTTCCATAAATTTTCAGGTATTTTGTAAATGGAACCGTCGGTTCCAAATATAATTTTGGAACAGTTCGGGTTCGATTTGGTTCGATTCCGTACTATAATTAAATTTTTTAACATGTAAAATAATACTACATAAATACACATGAAAGTAGATACTAATATTAATAACAAAAAGTAGATATAAATACCAAATTCAATCTTAACTTTTATAAATTAACGTAATCTAATTTAATAACGTATAAATAATAAGTTGTCAAATACAAATACGAAAAAATAAATATTACTAATAAAATTTCGATAATTCATATCAACAATTCATTTGTTTCAAACATTCAGGTCTACATAAAAATGAAATATAAATTAGAAGTAATAAAGATAAAATATTTTAAAGTATTGATAATACTTACCAACTATTTAATGTAATAATCAGTTGCTTGACTTTCCATACTAACTATTAAGAGACTATACAAGAAAAAATTGAACAAAACACAACTAACAAACATAAATAAACTATAAATTGTTCAACTAATAAGATTTAATAAGAAAAAAAAATATTAATTTATTTAGAAAAAATAAAATAAATTGATTTATTCAATATAAAAAAAAAATTCGGTTCTTCGGTTCTGGGTCTAGAACCGAACCGAACCGAACCAAACCATTCGGGTTCTCGATTCGGATACCCGTTCGGGTATTTTATTTAAAAAAAATCCGCTCGATTCGATTCGATTCAGTTCGATTCGGACATTTTGCCCAACCCTACCAAATAGTGGCTAATACAATTTAAATTTTTTTAAAAAATAAAAATAAAAAGCCCGGAGACCAGAGCATCCAGTTCCATTCGAATCTAAACGAGGCTAGACAAGACATTCGTCTGCCCTAATTTTAAATTGGAATTGTATCTTGAGTAGTGCTTTGGGCACACAACATTTCCCACGATGCTTCACACGGGTCAAGTAGCCCTTATGTGAAGCCCTTGTATCTTATGCTCATAATTTCTTCTTCCGTTCGGTTTAGAATTGGCAAGTAAGTTGGGTGAGTTTCTAACCCTCCCAAAAGTTAAGGTAACCCATAATTAGCATGAGATTTACTCCCTGAGAGCCATGGCTGAAAAAGCAGTAGAAGAGGAGGAGCATAACGTAGTGGTGGAGCTGGGTTCATATAAAGGGAAATTGAGAGTGATAAATAGTTGTAATGATTCTGAAGATTCTGTAGCGGAGGAGATTATGCTTCTGTGGGGAATTCAACAGCCCCTTCTGTCCAAGAACAACGCCTTTGTCGCCCAATCCTCTCTTCAACTCCACATTGACGCCTGTGGCCGATCTCTCTCCATTCTCCAATCCCCTTCGTCTTTGGTTTGTACACTTTTTACTTGTTTATCAAAATTTTCCTTGTATTACTAATTGTGGTGATTATTGTTCAATTGGCATGTGTTTTGAGGAATGTCAGTAATTTCTGTTGCCTTCACTGTATAATTTTAAGAACCCATTAGATGCTTAGACGTTCAGAACCTGACAAGGCGAGGTTTAATTCTTGAAGATATTAATGATGTTCATAGTTATCATTTCTTGTACATTGTTATAGTAGCGTGGTGGGTAAGATACTATTTCTTGGTAAAGAAATAGAAAAAGGGAAACAGATGAACTAAAATAAATGAGGCTTCTTTATTTAAAATAATAATAAAAAATACGAAATGATCAGAGTGTTGAAGAGCACGAGAATGAATTTCTGAACTTAAATCAATCAATTAACCTACCATGAAGGACATTGATAATGTGTTACAAGAACTTCTTCTGAGATCTTTCCCTTCCCTGGTGTTTCGTGGCTGTGACAGTGAATCTGCTCCAAGCGGTGTAATGAACATTGTTATGGTGAAAGATGGTTTGCTATTTGTAAGTCCAAGCTGAATCCCCTTATTACTGAGAGGAATAATTAATGTGGCAAAACATGACAGATGAGAAAGATTGCAAATTTTAAAGAAAAGAAAAGGGAAAAAACATTAAAAAAATACAACTGTTGGCATTAGAAGTAGCTCAGATTGTTGTTATTTTTTACAAGTTAGACTTGATAGAGCATGAGTAAGGTTAGGTAATTGGTTCACGTGCCTCATTCCACGTTATCTTGCACATTGGCTTCTATACATCCTATGGTTATTTTAACTATGTCCAAATGCGAAACACGGGTGGTAGAAGTTGGAATTGGAGATGGTTGTTTTGATACTAATACATGTTGTAAACTAGTGCTTAAAGATATTGAACTATGAAGCATGTATGTGTCCGTCACATGTTGTGTCAGATACTAGGACATGTATTTCATGTGTTGTGTCCAGGATTAAAAAGTATAAAAATAAAGATAGTATATAAATGGATTGTTTTAAAGAATTCAAATTGATTTGTCCGTTTCCTATTTTTAAAAAATCATATGTCAACATGTGTGTGTCTTGTTATGTTTGTTTCATATTTCCATACAATGTCCGTGTTTCTTAGATATTCGAAATCTAAAAATAATGATGAAGCGTATATAAATGTCAGTATGGTAGTGAAAATGGAGACTTGGTAAAGGGTCTATAAAGGTTGCAAAAGAAATAAAAAATTTACTCATTATATGGAGGCAAAACTAAGTAAAAGTGAAACTATGCTATTGAAAAGGAGTATGAGTAGAATTCTCTCCCAATAGACTCGGTTAGATGAGAAAAAAGGGGATACAAGATCTAGTTAGGAATAATTTCTTCTTGAGGTGAAGGGTATATGTCTTAACCTTTGTCTCCAATGTTTAATTGGTAAACAACTTAACTGATGTCTATGGTGGTGCATGTGATTTTGCTGATGATTATTCTAGGGATGCATGGACCTATGCTTTAAGAACCACATATTTTGTCTTGCAAGTATACAAGTTTTCTTTGGTTAATGTTGAAAGAGCAATAGGCACAATTGGGCCACGATTCTTTTCATAATTCTGGTATCATGAATTAACTTCTTACTCGCCTTCATCCATTACAGTGGGTTATCCCTTACCTACTTCTTGGCTTCTCGATGTTGAAGTGTCTGTCCCTTATGAGCTATGTCTTAGATAACCCTTACCCGCTTTTAACTGGCATCTGATGGGCTATTACAAGACGTTGTGTAGAAGTATTCATGTTTTGGACTTGGGAGTGGCTGTGAATAAACATAGCTATTGTTTGTTATGGTATTCTAACATTCATGGAAAAAGCTTAAAGTTGACAAAACTGATAATATGTAATAAAGTGGATATCCATTCTAATGCATTTTTCTTACAAGGTTGAACTTTGAAACGCACTAATGTTTTGGTTATGCTTAATGCACTGCAGGTTTTCATAAGAATTGTTCACTGATAAGGTTTAATTACTTACAAGCATTGGATACTGCATGTGAAAGATTGTGCAAGTTAGCTGCCCATTAATATGGGTGTCAACTTATAGAAGATGGGTCTGATAAAGAACTGACTGAATTAATATTCTAGATAACTCCTTTAACATCGAATGGTATAGGTTACGACGTATATGCTATAAATTATAGTGGGTTCTCAGTTTTCACTAATATTCTTATAAAATGTATCTATGCCATTTCTTCTCAAGTGCAGGGCACTCCTGGAGTAACTGGTTCAGTGATGTGGGACAGCGGTGTAATTCTGGGAAAGTTTTTAGAGCATTCTGTGGAATTAAAAACAATTTCACTTCAAGAGAAGAAGGTTATCGAGTTGGGCTCGGGCTGTGGATTAGTTGGGTAATAATTCTGATCATTCATAATTTTCTCTGAGATCCATTTGTGGATAATAATTCCATCATTACTTTACTCGGCAAGTGCAATGGCTTTTGTAAAGAGAAAAGTCCCAATCACTAAGTGTTGAAGTCCTAATGATCCTTGTCTATCACAACGCTGTGCTTGCCCATTTGCTTAATTGTGTTGTTTTTTCGTTTGAACGTCTTTTTCTTTTATACGTCTTCCAGCTGCATTGCAGCTCTATTGGGTGCTCAAGTTATTCTGACCGACCTACCAGATAGGCTGAGGCTGTTAAGAAAAAATGTTGAAACTAATCTATATGGAGAATTACGAGGATCTGCAACAGTGAATGAGCTCACATGGGGATATAATCTGGATCCAGATTTGAGAGATCCTTCACCAGATTATGGTATAATGTTTATTTTCTAGTCAAAACTCGACATGGAATAATATGGTTAAAAATAAAAGAAGCAGTTATAATTTTTTAACTGCATGTGTAATGCTTATTCGAATAAATGTATTGCAGTGCTTGGCTCAGATGTAATATATAGTGAGGAAGCAGTGATGGATTTGTTGGAAACACTTGTCGACCTCTGTGGTAGAGAGACAACGATTATTTTGGCCGGAGAACTTCGTAATGGTATAAAACTTTCTTTCTGTTTTTGTGATTTTCAAGTATTTTTCGGACACGCCAATCTTATATACTCAATCATGTGGCAGATGCTATCCTAGAATATTTCCTGGAAGCTGCTACGAAAGAGTTTATTGTTGGGCGGGTTGATCAAAATCAGTGGCATCCAGAATACCGCAGTTTGCGTGTTGTGATTTATGTTTTGGTTAAAAGATAGACACATGAATCGAATAAAATTATGCGAGTCCATCGTATTAAGGGATTGAGCTATTAGTGTTGGTATTTTATGATGATCAAATTAGAAGTTTCGATATTCTATGTTGCAGAATAATAGTATTTTTCGTGCAATGCTGCATTTTATTGAAGGTCCCTTCATGCCATATTTCTTTTAGAATAACGTTAATTAACACCATTGGCACTACGATGCCAGTCGAGATGGCGTTAAGTGATGGGCTAAATGAAATGTAGAATTAAGAGATTCATTTAATAATACTTCTCATTTAACGTAACGTTACTGCAACCTGGGTTGGTATTTTTCTAATACTAGTAATATTAAATAGCAGTACTTTTTTTTTTAAGCTTGTTTTTTTCGCTGGAATTACTTTCAGCCAGTTATTATTATCTTCATGACCCAAATCTGCAACATTCTTTATTCCCCAGTTATAGAAGTTTGTTTTGATAAAAGAAAAAATTCATATATAAGATTTACCTTACATACCATTTCAAAAATAAGAAAATAACTTTGAAATTTCTAAAATCAGATATTTTAACATATGCACACACATATATTTATANATAAATATATAAAAAAAATTAAAGATATATATATATATATATATATATATATATATAGTTAACCCACCCCACCTCCACCACCCTTATCGCTCCGGCGACTACTTCGATTTTGGCGAGTATTCCGGTGACCATTCCGGTGATTACTCCGATTCCGACAATTATTCTGATGATCGTTCTGGCGTCTGATCCTATTCCGACGACTATTCTAGTAACCGTCACAGATTTATATAATATGGTCACAGATTCACAATTTAGTTAGTCACATATTATTTTTCGGTCACGGCTCAAAAATTTTGTATGTCACAAATTTGTTCGAGGTCACAAATTAAAAATTTTGTAGGTCACGATTTATTTCATTGGTCACGTATTATCAAATTATTGGTCACAATTTATTTCTCGGTTACAAATTAAAAATTTTATAGGCCACATATTCATTTTTCGGTCACAACTTAATCAATTGTGAGTCACAATTCGAATTTTAAGGTCACAAATTATCCAATTTTAAGAGTCACAGGTGACTGGTCACATGTTAACTATTGGGTTACATACCACCATCACCTCCAATATCTCCACTGTCACTTGCGACCACTCTCACATGGTGGCCAACGACGTCACCACCACCATTGATACGCCACCAACAACCACCTCCACTTCCACTAGAACCCATCACCACCAAACATATCAACAACGAACAAACCACATCTTCAACTACAAAACCATCATCGCCGCCACGTGCACCCCGACACGACAACCACCTACAACAAAAAATGACGACCACCACCGTCGTCGCCGCCTGTACCACACAACGACAACCACCAACAAACATCCCTACCCCACGTCGTCCCACCCACAACCACCGCCACCTCCACAAAACACACCCAGAAATTCACATCAGATCTGGATCACCGATACATACTTCTAAGTCACCACCAAAAGACCACAACCACCACACAAAATCACAAAACTAGGAGCAACAATGCTGATGTGCAAAGCTCTGTGCAAACCAGTGCAGCGATAGCGCCCATCGTTGAGGGAACACCCATGGCTGTGCGAATACACTAGTGAATCTAGCTAACCAAGTGGGCATGAACACCCACAACTCTCTATGTAGCGTCAATGTTCACAGCACCGCTGTGGGGACCGCCTTTTTTTGTCGATCGGAGCAGTACTCACAATGAAGATGGTGGAGCCGCTCGTTGTCTTGCTGCTGTGGGCGTCGATATTTCTCTCCAGAACGCCCTAGATGGAACCCCCTTCAGGAAGCCCTACTTCGCCATCGCTCCATCAAGTCTCCTTCGTTCGAATCTCATCCATCTTCCAGTTCTCCGCTTCGTAAGCCACCGCTGTTCTGATCTGAGCGTCGTTGTTCCAATCTGCCTCGGTGAGGGAGAAGTGAGAGACTGAGAAGGAGAGATGTGAGAGACGGGAGAGAGGAAATGAATTTAGGGTTTAATTTAATTGAGATGAAATTAAAATATAATCTACATATATATATAATCCGTATCTAATTAAAAATATTTGATTTTTGAAAATTAAAACTTGAAATCTGATTTTGGAATATAGATTTTGAAAAGTAGGGAATTGGGTAATTTGCACTTAGATAAATATCATCCCATTTTACAGGCCCAAAATCAGCCCAATCTGAAAGAATCCAGCCTTAGTTTCTCTTCTCTATTTGTTGTTGGTTTAAAGAAGACCCACCTTTATTCAGCCTTGCTTCCTTCCTTAAGTCGTCAAAGATTAGTTAAAGCTTGAAAGTTATGCGCATCACATTAATTATTTATTTATTTGTATTTTCGTACGTTTTTTGATACTACGAAAATGACAAATTTGAAGACTCAAGACAGAGATAATCACTTCAGTCAGCCAGTCGTAAGCACTCTATCAACTAGTTTGACTACTTTAAAGTCAAATTTTATGCTAGAAACACCCTATACCTTTATTTTAAAGTGGAAATTACACCATACCCTACATTTGGAGATGTCAATTCTAAAATCAGGTGG